GCTGCCTCTCACTGGTCATGGCAAGGGCTTTGTGAATAGCTGGGACTTTTGCCAGCACAGGTGTGGTGGCTACACATCATGTTTTTGTATCTCTAACATCTGTAGAATAACTGGCACTCCCATGCTGACCGAGTGCTCAGAGATGCAAGTGTACCTTTGTACTCAGAGTGTTGATGTCAATCATTTTGCAATTGCAATTTTTAAATCAAGATAAAGCATTCTCTCTAATGACCTTGCAATGACAACTGACTTCATCTCAGGATATTTAATTGTGTGAATTAGATCATAATAACTGACAAAGCACAGATATCCCGCTAAATTAGAATTTCTGTATTTCTTCTTGCAATGGCGCTTTTGTGATGTTAGTTTTCATAACTTGGTTGTCCTGTTGATATTCTCCAAGTGAGACTAAAACTGCTGAGCACAAATAAGCCCTCTATTAATGGACTCCAGATAGCAATGCTACAGTTCAGGGAGCTAACTGTGGCTTGAAGCAGGAATTGCCTTTTGAAGGTCCAGGGAGATACAATGGTGTGAACTGGAATCAAACAGAAAATTAGGTCCATGCTCCAACAGCAACTTGTTTTACGTTAACTCAATGAACTCACATCCTGACTTCTAACAAGTGATGTGAAACCTCACTGGGCAACTCAGCGAAGTTCAGGTTTTGTGCTATTAGTGTGACCACTGAATTGTAATCTCCTGCTTCACTTGACTGCTGGTGTCTCAACACTGCAAGCTGCACGCCACTCTGAGGAGCATAACAAAGTTCAGGTTACCACCTGCACCAAGGGCAAAGGTGAGTCGTCTGCATCTCATTTTCCTCACCAGCCTGTATATCAACTAACATGTTGAAATATATCTGGAATTGCACAGCAAAGGAAGAATGGGGCAGAGGGAGATGAGGTGGGTAAGGCAGCAAGAGGTGCAGGCACAGACTGTGTTGTGTAGTAATGATGCACCTGTATCTGCAGCATCTGTAATGATACAGGTGAACCCATTGTGTTAAAAGTCTAGAACAGCTTGGAAAATTTGATTTCACTAACAAGCAACTAGGTAACAAGTCTGGCCTTCCGAGACCTGGTTCCCCGCTCTGCTATAGGCTGCTTCCACAGGCTTGTCAAGAAGCTTGTGAGTGATTTTTAAGGTGTCTAGACATACCCCATCGAGGTATGTGCTTTCTTTGCCAGTCTCAGTTCCTTCACCATAAAATAGTGGTTACAGCTGCTTTTCCCTGCCAAAAGACACTGAGGTGAGCAATGAGTAGAGTGATGGGAGATGTAAAGGCCTTGCATAGGTTTTCTTGGTTGGAGTGTTTTATGGACGCTAGGCAAATGAAACTGAAGACAACCACTTGGAGAAAGGTGTTTAAAGGGCTGATCTGTGTGCTGCTGTTTTTCAGCCAGTATTATTTCTAAGAAGCTCTGGTTTTAAATAATGCAGTGTAGAAGATTAGTGATGTTGTGTACGCCTTGAAACTTAATTTAACTGCCCAAGACCTGTGCACAAGTAAAGGTAATTTTTTTTAATTGTTTTAGAGGTTGCGAAAATGTGGAATCTTGTTGTTTAGTCCCTGGAGACATGTTTCTTTTAGATAGAAAAAAGTTCTCTCTCCTCTGTGATGCAGTCGTGATTGATGTAAGCTGCATTGTGAATGAAGGGATGCGCCCAGGTGCAGCACTGGAGTTGGAAATGCTAAGGTCCTGTGCATGTTCTTTGACAGGGAGATGTTTCTATCTGTTCTGATAACAAGTTGTTTACTTTTTATTAGAGTAGTTTGCAGAAGGAGGTAGAAAAACTGTGGCTTGAATAATTCACAGTTTTCTTGGGCTTTTGAAAACTGCCATCGTATAACGTGTATTTCTTATCCACATTAAAAAAAAGTAGGATTAATGTATTGTCAGGAGTAGAAAGTGAAAATACTCAAATACACTGAATATGTATTTTTTAATTTTTTGTTGATTCTGATCTTGCCTCAGTTGAGTTCAAGCAGGCAGTGGTTGAGCACAGAAGTCAGTGTGAGCCCTAAACATCAAGCCACTGCAAGGCATGAACTTAGTTCAGGGACAAAATTTAACCCAAGCTCCTCATGCTTAATGTTAAGAGAAACATACCATAGCATGGCTGGGAGGAGACATGAGAAGGAAAGGGGCTGCTCTTCTCTCTGCCACGCCCTGGCCTGGAGGGGTTCTGGTTCTCTATATTTAACTATCTTGTCATCTTTTCTCCTTCAACCTTTTACTCAAGAGACATCTGGTGTGTTTGGGGAGGCAGAGTGCAATGGGTGTCCCTGCTTCCTGCTCATCTCCTTCCCTCTGGGGAAGGCACCTGGCCACTGCTGTGGCAGGGGTAGCCACAGAGGTCACTGCTAATTCAAGGCAAACAGAAGTCAACATTAAAGTTGACTATATTCAGAATTATACTATTTAATTCATAATACTGTAATACAATAAGAGACTTCAGCTCTGCACTGAATGTGATATCAAGCTCAAAATGTTGGTCTTTTGCAGATGCCAGGAAAAGTCATACACCCTATATCAACTCCCAGGTTTCATTAGTAGTTGTTAATACATCAGGTTTTTCAGCACCACAGAGACAATCATGCCATAATAAATAAAAGAAGAAATTCATTGCAAGAGGAGAAGAATCACATTCCCAATACCTCCTCAAAGGACAGAGAGAAAATGACTATCTGATGCAAATTAATGAGATGAAATTAATGAGTATTAACAAATAAAATACTCCTCCAGTGGGACCAATCACAGGCACACAGTGCAATGTCTTCTTGGCCCTCTTACAGTGCTTCAGGGAGGCTCCACCAAATAGGTGCATGCTGAACAGGCTTGGAGCCCACCAGGCAGGCAGCTCACAGCAGTGCCAGAGTGATTTCCACCAAGGCACCCTTGCAAGCAGTATCTGCTCAAATAAGTGGCAGAACAAACCTGGATCAATATGACAGAATAAATTCATGTAATTAAAAAAACCCTCTGTAAGGTATCACAGTGTAAAGCTCTTTTTGTAGATATGTCCAACGTGCACCCAGCTGGGAACATGCTGTTGGTTTGCCAAAAACATGAGGAGGAGCTATTGCTGTCTGCATGGATCTCATTAGGCTATTTGCATAATTACTCTTTCTTAAATGTTCACATTTTTAAATGTGTTATAACACTAACTGTCAGCTAAGCTGGATACTGTGAGGCAGTGACAGTAAAGGAATTTAATTCTACTTACAAAATATCCTATTGTATGTTTAATAAGATATAAATGTTTGTTGCTTTTACTTGATGTTTAGCAATTTCACGGTGTCTCTCAAGTATTAATTAATTAATAAGCCAGTTATGATTAGGCTGAGGACAAGGTATAATGTGCTGGAAACAGAATAGTCTTTGAGGGTGCAGAGGAACAACAGGTCCTGGATTCACTGTGCTTTTTAATAGAGCTGCTCTCTTCCAGATTCAATGAAATGAATGTGTTGGTAACAGGGGATGCTACTGGTGATCAGAGGTAAATAAATCTGTTTAAAGTTTTCTTAACATGCCAGACTAAATGGCAATGGGCTGCGTTGTGGTCTGGCAAACACATCTTGTCAGCCATCATCTTCTTAGAGGGGAATATGTGAGTATGTGTGTGTGTCTGTGAGTGAGAACAGAGGACTCTGATAAATAACTTTCATGATGAAACGATAGTCTTTGCCCAGCCCAGCCTCGCATGTGTTCAGTCTGTACCGCAGTGCCCATGAAGGAATAAACCCGACAGCTGAGATGAAAGAGAAAAGAAAGAAACAGAAAGAAGTTTCTTTCACAGAAAGAAACTGGGGCATGAATCTTTGAGGAACATTCCTCAGGCAGGCAAATCTAAGCAAAACACCGTGATGTCCAAATCAGAGCACTCTTTGAAAACACTGAGAGATACAGCCTATAAGACCTGCCCTTCCTTCCTGCCTCCCACCCTCCAGGACCTTCTCAGTTTAGGCACTGCAGGCACCAGCGATAAAACACTTTACATGCCTTGCTTGCCCTTTTATTCAAGCCTGGGAACCAGGAGTTCTCTACCTATGCAGGCCCTCAGCTGAAAGACACATAGTATACGCTCAGCAATACTTTTATTTTGTCAGAAAATAAAGGTCAAAGTCCATCACACACAGAAAGAGCCTACAGGAATCATCTGAGAAAAAGAGGATGTGGGTAGAAAGCCTGCACCTGTCCTCAACAAAGCACTGGAGAGGAGATGGCCGGGAAGGAATGGATAGTTTGCTTGCAAGTGCTCCCAAACTACCACAAAAGTCATCATAAGCAATGGAAAAAAAAGCAGATATAGCAAACAGGCTGGTGCTGCTGGGGTCACTTTGAAGGGTGACACTCAACTTGCTCTTTCTAAAGCAACGGGAGAAGGAAGGCTGAACCACACTTTCCCAAAAGGGTTTTCTTCTCAGACAATCCACTCATCAGCTTTCTGACAAGGAATAGCAGGGCTCAATACCTTTGGAGATGAGCAATAGGTGCCTCACAGCTCATTCTCCACATACATCACCCCCAGCACTGCAGGGACCCCAGCTTTGCCTTTCTGCTGGCTGGGCGAAGATTGATCTGCTGACTATGAACTGCTTAAAATCCACTTCTGGTCACTGAAGAGACAATGGTCTCAGATGTGGGGAACAAAGGCTCCTGGCTGCCCTTGCCATCTCCAGTGGTCTTTCTCTAAGCCCAAAGAGTTGAATCATAGAGTGGGTTGGTTGGAAGGGACCTTAAAAATCATCTAGTAAGCTTGCTCAGGCCTAATGCCAACAATCACTGGGCTTATAGAAGTGAAGAAGGAAAGTGTGATGTCACAGTGGAACAATCAGCTGACTGACCCAGGAGCCAGCTGGGTTTTTTTGTCAGACCTCCCCAGATTTGGGGGTCTGCTGCTCCCAAAGGGAGTCACAGGAGGCAGAGATAGGCACATTTTCCAGGCATGAAGAAAATGAACAGAACCCCATCCTGTCCAAATCAGAGCACTCCCTAAAAGCACTGAGGGATACAGCCTGTAAG